CCTAGAAAGTCTGCAATGAGTTATTTGTTGGCTTAATGGTAACTTGAGTTCCTCTATCACTAGCTTTTCTGCATTTTAGTGCTGCTTAGAAGAAGGAATAGGAAGAAGATGGGGTCGATATTAATTTATTGACTCAAATGTTGCTAACCTGTTCCCATTTTCACCTCTGATAGTCGATAGTGTTATTTAAAACTTTAGGGCCTGTTTGGTTTCCTTTGATAGAAAGTAGATGTGTGCTATATTCATCAATTGTGATTTGGTATATGCAAGATTATACCTGAAGAAGTTTGGGCCTGTGGGCCGTCCACTAGAGTACTTGATCTAAGCCTCAATTCGTTGCTTGAAGTGCCGGTTGCAATCAGCTGCTTAACTTCCATACAGGTTTATGAATTATTTGCTCTTTCTGCAAGTATCTAATGTTGTAAATGCCGAGGGTTGTTCACCCACATCACATCATTCTCTTTCTGTAGAAATTGTTTCTTAGTGGCAATCATTTGTCTGATGAGTCTATTGGCTGGGAAGGACTTTCAACTTTGAAGTCTCTTGTGGTACTATCATTGAACCAAAATGAGTATGTTTTAACACTCCTGCAGTTCTTTTTAATATTTTTTCTTTTTGAGTAAATTGTAGAATTTAATCTTAGTCACTTATAATCATATATCTCTAAGTAACATACTGGTAACTTGAGTTTTGTCTCTGCAAATGTTTATAAATTCTTATAGTTCCTTTTCAATCATTATTGTGTACTCATGTGACTTGCACACTGCCACACCTTCACATGCAGCTTGTTCAGTTTTGAGTAAAATATGGAATGTTGAGCACCGCTGTGTTCACTTATCTTCTAGAGCCCTCTGTAGACCCTAGCCACATTGCTTAATCATCATCTAATTATAAAAATGATTAGCTCTATATATGCTGACAAAGTTTTTTTTTCTTTTTGCCTTTTATCAAGTTGTTGAATGTAAATCTATTAATGCTTTGTTCAAGTTTCATGTCTTCACTTTGAACTTATCCATTATTTTAATTGGTAGATTCAGATAGACTATTTGGTTGGTTTAAAGCCGTTTCTTCTATTTTGTCCTTCTCAATAGATTGACGGAACTTCCATCTGCACTTGGTGCATTGACAAGCCTGAAGCAACTTCATGTAGAAAGCAACAAATTGACATGTATTCCTCCTGAAATAGGTCTGCTGAAGGAGCTACACGTTTTAAAAGCCCAGAAAAACAGGTATATTCGTCATAACAAGTTGTCAAAAGTCATGTATGTTTAGCCAGCATTTTTTGTTGGTGTATGGATGTAGCGAACTCTGATTTTTTGGGAGGTAACTATGTTTTTACGATGTTTGCAGTCCGAATATGTTTTCATGTTATTTTTTATGCATACTGTTTGATAGGCACTATTGGTTAAATATACCAGATAGTATCAATGGCATTTTCATCTCTTTCTTTCTTGTTTTATCTCGAAAAGAAGAATTAAAACTAATTTTATCTTTTTGTATTGATTTTTCGCTGCTACCAGGCTAAGAACTATTCCAAGAACTATAGGTGGATGCGTTTCTCTTGTTGAAGTATGGACCCAATTTTCATTATCTTAGCTTCATTTCCTTCTGTGATAACTGAATTTGTTCACCATGTTTTTGAGATATGGCCATTTATGGTCAGTAAAATCAGTATTCACTATGTTTTAACTTCATGCAGGTTGATCTTTCATGTAATCTCTTGTCTGAATTGCCAGAGACATTTAGCGATTTAAGAAATTTGAAGGTCAATTCTTCATCCATAGAGTATTTAGTATTTGATGATTTGTGTCTATTGACCTTCAATATAAAACAGTTTAACACCGAAGTTACAGCTAATACCAGTTTATTTGTGTTATGTTTTATATGATGCAGGCATTGTATCTTGGTAATAATGGGGTCAAGTCCCTGCCTAACATGCTATTCAAGATGTGCTCACAGCTGTCAATACTGGATCTTCATGGCACTTCAATCACAATCGAACTTCTTCGCCAGGTAAAAGGCATCTCTTCCAAAGGAAAATTTAAAAAATTTTGTAGTTTGTAGGTTGTTTGGGGCATATAACAATAATATCATGTACAACTAACCCGTTTTTTCAAGTTCAGTTATTGATAGTTAAACTGATTTCACATCCTTTGACAGTCAGATATTTTGGTTTTTAGAGTTTGCAAAATAATACTACCTGTCGAGTTATTTAATCCATGTCTATGAACTCTTCTCAAATTCCACACGGCACTAACGTTATATTCATTGACTCTTTATGTTTTCTCCATCATACAACAAGCCAACGATCTTTCGGTTATTGTATTCGGTTTTTTGGCTTTTCAAGTATTAGGAGAAATGAGTAATCTTGATTGAAATCATAAAGAAAAAAATAATTACAAATTTTACATATCAACAGTTTGAAGGATGGGAGAGTTTTGACGAGCGTCGCCGCCTAAAGCATCAAAAGCAACTCGATTTTCGAGTTAATGGATCTGCTGACTTTGATGAAGGTGCTGACAAGGACTGGTAATAGAAAATACTCGTTGAAAAATTTCTAAAGCTTTACTCACAAGTTGGCATCGATAGAACATAGTCAATGAAACTGTTGTAATGCAAAAGTCTCTATTGATGTGTTTCCATCGTGGAGAGAAAATCTATATGTGCTTGGAATGCATTTGATTCCATATTTATAAGGGAAGTTTGTAAAAAATAATTCAAACTTTTGTCTTTGCCAAACTACCACTTTTGGTTCTAAGAGCAGTTAGTCCTTCTCATGTGGAGTATATGTGCCTGATGAATCCAATTTTTTACATGTGACCAATTTTATGAAACGATTGCAGAATAAAAAGCCGAAAAGAGCTAAGAGATAAAAGCTTGATGGGATCTATCATTTGATCTTTTCAAATTGTGTAAAAAATTATATACAATAACAAAAACAAATGTATCCAAACTGAGCAGTAAACTACAAATAAGTTATTCTGTAATCACATATATATAAGTTTCTAAATCATTGTAGCTCAGCACTGCATGCGAGTACTTCATGATAAAAGTTACCATCAACAGAATGAATGAGCTCAACACTGCTGCCAAAGTTTGCATCAAAAGAAGCAATTTCCAAAGAACCAATGATTTCTCCCTGTGAATGCCCAAAACCAACTTCATTTAAAAGGCAAGAGATATCTATTCCGATCAATAATGGACAAATACCAAACATGAACCGAAGCACAAAAGAGTAAAATTATAGAATCTACTTTGATGATAAAAGTGAAGTGCAGTTTGATTTACCACAAGTCATCTGTGCTCTATGTATAATCAACTACTTGGATCTCACAAGATGCACCTCCTCTTCTGCTCCTGATTGCCCTTGCTTTACCCTCATGTATCTCTAGAACCTAGTCAAAATAAATCAGATATATATATAATGAAATGAGGGGAGAAGATTTTCAAGAGAAGAAATCAATTCAAATTCATCATTACTTATATGCATTTGTATTTCCTGT